CAGGGTCACAAAAGTCAGCATTGGGTGGGGGCTTGGAAGGACTGGTGGATGGATGGATGGATGGATGGATGGACGGACGGATGGATGGACGGACGGATGAATAAATGGGTGAATGGATGGATAGACAGATTGATGAATGGATGGATGGATGGATGGATGGATGGATGGATGGATGAATAAATGGGTGAATGGATAAATGGATAGATTGATGAATGGATGGATGGATGGGTAGATGGATGGGTGGATGGATAGATTGATGAGTGAAGATGGGTGGATGGATGGATGGATGGAGAGATGGATGGATGAATAGATGAATGCAAGGTTGGATAGATAGATAGACAACATCTATTTTTCTGGCTTGAGGTTTGGATTCAGTGCTCCCCAGGGTCCTTGTCAGTTCTATTTGTTTGGTTTCTATCACTTTGGAGGCAGAACGCTCACTGTGGGGACTCTTAAAAATGTTTTTAAATGTTTACTTATTTTTGAGAGCAAGAAAGCAACAGAGTCTGAGTGAGGGAGGGGCAGAGAGAAAGAGAGAGAGAGAGAATTCAAAGCAGGCTTCAGGCTCTGAGCTGTCAGCACAGAGCCCGACGCGGGGCTCGAACCCACAAACCATGAGATCATGACCTGAGCTGAAGTTGGATGCTCAACCGATTGAGCCACCCAGGTGCCCTGACATCGTGGGAACTCTTAAGCTAGGAAGGAAGGTATGAGAGTTACTTGCAGGTGAGACAAAAATGAGAAAGGGATTGTAGGGGTGAAGAGGGGGAGCAATCTCCAGGTGTTTATAGAGAAGAGATTGAGAAGGGACAGAGAAACTAGGTGAAGTAAACTGAGTCTGGCGGCTTTGAAGGTTTATTCAATTGCAGGCCCAATTACTTCTAATAACACCTTGTGGCTCCTGGCGCCTTTCTCCTGAGAGCTCAAAGACTTTTACTGACACCGTGAAGGTGCACACACGCCATCGAGGGAGATACTGTTATTATCGTCGTCACCGCTTCAGAGGCAGGATGGGGAGACCCAGAGAAATGGAGCGACTTGCCCAAGGTCATTGGGTGCTCTCACGGGGCCGAGCCAGCACACGGGGCAACATCCCCTCCATTAGCATCTGCGTCCCCGGCCAGGGTGTGGGGTGGCCTGCCTTGCCCAAGCTCCCAGACAGTGTCCAACTTTGCATTCATAAGAAGTAGTCACCAGCTCTCACAACACACTGTGAGGCCACAGCTGCTGCCAGCCTCCTTTCCATGTAGAGGATGCCCTGACCGCGGGATGAGCTGGCGGTGACTTCTCCTAAGTCCCTCCATGTGTCAAGGCTGCCTTGGGAAGGGGTGAATTTTGGAGCTTTGGAGGCCAAGCTTTATCCTTGGGCAGAAGACGACACCAGCTCAGGCAACGTAGAGCCGCAGGAGACCTGCTGATTGGCTGCCTCCTCCTCTCTCTACCCTCACTCCTTGGGGCTTCAAGCCATCTTGCTCCTCAGTTCGTTGTCCCTCCCTCTGCTGTGGTGGGCTTCCCTCCTCCCAGCCTGCTCCCCCAGCCCTGGTGGGAGATCCATCCATCCACCAGTCCAGCCAGCCAGCCATCCACATACCCATCCATTCACTCATCTGTCCATCCATCCTGCCATTCCCCCGCCCAGTGCTGACTTTTCCAGGCCCATGTGAAGTCCCGGGGTCACTCAGACGAACTTAGACCCACCTCCGGCTCCCATCCCTCCCCGCTCCGCTCCTAGTGCTTAGACGAGCTCCTGGAGTTCCCGGTTCTCACCAGGCAGGGCCCAGGGTCTGCAGGTCAGGAAGTGGGCCGGGCAGCATTCCTTAGGCTTGAGTCAGGGAGGTAAACTGTCAAAGAAAGCAGCCCCCTCCCTCAAAAAAACATAATCCCCAGCCAGGCAGCCAAGAATGTACCTGAAAGGGCGTGATTTCTTGGCTTCCTTCAGAAGTACCCTTTGTACCTTTATTGAAATGAGAAAAATGCAGAGCATTCTTGAGCTGCTGTGGCCTCAGGGGAAGTCTTGTGCAGACTGGCAGGGGTGAGGCTGCTAATCACCTGTGCCCGGGGCAAGGAGTCCTCCTGGCTGGTTCCCAGGCTTTGGACGAGGGAGGGGGCCGCCCTACTTTGAATGCAGAGCTACCGAGAAACAGGACTAAGAGCAAGGGAATGAAGGTGGAGGGCAAGGCACCAGCTGCACCCTGCTTGCGACACGGCCTGTGCCTTGTACCTGCAGGTGGTACCCGTCACAGCGCTCTCTCTGCTGTCTCAGTACCCAAGTCTCCATGACAGCAGGACTCTGTTCTTGAAACCTGTGTTACTCCAAGGGCAAGCACAGCTCCTGGTACATTAGCAGATCTCCAGAATTTTCTAGGAGATGGATGGATGATGGGTGGTGGATAATGGAGAATGGACAGATGGATGATGGAGGAACGATGAAAAGTGGATGGATGATGGATAATGGAGGATGAATGATGAATGGACAGTGGATAGATGGATGGATGGATGGATGCCTGCTGGGTGGGTGGGTGGATGGGTGGGTGGATGGGTGGATGGATGGATGGATAGATAGGTGGGTGGGTGGATAGACAGATGGACGGATGGATGGGTGGGTGGGTGGATGGATGGATGGATGGATAGGCAGGTGGAAAAATGAACAGGATTCTGGGATATGTGGCAGAGATTTGGGATCCTTCCAAACTCCCCAGTGTAGCTGGCTGTTTAAGAGGATGCTTAAAAGGGCCAGGCTTACATGTGTGGTATGTAGGGAGGAGTCCCACTCTGTGCCCAACACAAGCAGTCCAGTCAGGACTCGGGCCAGCCCGGAATCTTCAGGCGCCACACGGCTTGGGTGGACAGGTGCAGAGCTGAGGAGAGGAATGGCCAGGGGGGAGAGGAGAAGTTCTGCCTCACCCTTCCCCTGAAATCAGGCCAAGCAGCCCCAGCTGGGTTCACAGCCCTTGGGAGAGTCTAACCTGGGGGCTGCGAAGCCCTTGATGGGGCTTCGGTGGCCCCCGTACACCTGTCCTTATACCGGCATCTGCCTTCTGGCTGTGATTACGTTTCCATCTTACAAGGGACATAAAACCGGGGCACTGAGAACATGCCTTTCAAGCTGGGACATGATTTACAGGCTCCTGGAGAAGCTCTCAGAGCTGGGGGCAGGGGCCGCTCACTGCAGTTGCTGCTGGAAGGAGCCCCCTTCCTGGTGGTGGGTTCTCTGTGGGCGCACGGGGAGCAGAAAGCCGAGATGTAAAGGAGGAGCATGGCGACCACTGTCCGGCTGGGTCAGGCCCCCAGGCCAGGTGACCGCCAGCTAAAGTCCGCCTCAGGGCACTGCTCCTTCTTTCCTGTTGAGGCTCTGATACCCACACCCTCCCCCATCCCCTGTCCTGTCCTGTCTGGCCTAAAAGCCTCTTTTTTTAAGCAGAGGGGACTTTCACTGGAATCAAATGAGCCTGAGCCACAGGGCTCTCATCTGCACAGCCAGGGGGATGTGCACGGCTCCTGGGAGCCACAGAGTGTTGTAGACGGGGAGAGAAGCCCAGGAGGTATTCTGTAGAGGCCGTGTTTAGACAACAGGCTTGAGCAATGGAAATTGATCAAGGCCCAAGGCCCTGTCTGTTTTCAGTCAGGCCGATTCCAAAATATCCCTAAGTCCTGTGGGTTACTTACATCCAGGCACAGTTATCAAAAAAGAGAAGATTCTAAAACTTTCTCACCTTCCGGGTTTAAAAACAGCGCCCTCCCACGGCCTCGATGGGGCCGTTCCTCCTCCGCTGTCCCGCCCCTGCTCCCTTGCCATGCATTCTATAAACTTCTACCTCCTTTCTTTTGCCTCGGGTGAATCCTTTCACACACACACACACACACACACACACACACACACACACCACCGGCCCCCTATCAATCATCACCCCACATTTGGGGACCCCCACCTGATCCAGACGGACACTGCACTTTCTAGTGCCTTCTAATTTGGTGCCTTACTCCAAATTGCCTGAACAGATTGCAGAAGGAAGGCGTCGAGTGCCCGCGGCTCCAGTGATTTCTTGTGATCTGTTTGCATTGTAAATACGTATTCACATTGGCACCTCATTTCTCTTTAATCATTTTGTATTCTTTTCCTTAAAGGGCGCCTCCAATCTGTATAAACTTGAATCTTATGAAACCTAGGTGTGGGTGAGGGTGGGTCCCCAGTCCAGTGACCGACTAAGAATAGGGGAACTTGGCCAGACATAAGGGAGACGCCGTGTGAAGGTGGAGGCGGGGACCGGGTGACACATCTCCAAGCCAACGCGGGCCATACCGGGCACTGCGAGAGGCCTGGGTTGGCCCTCGGAGCCACCAGAACCAACACGGCATGCGGCCACCTGGGCTTCTGGCCCCCAGAACTGAGAGAGAGTGTGCATTTCTTTTTTTTTTTTAACTTTAAAAAAAAAACATTTTTATTTATTTCTCAGAGAGAGAGAGAGAGAGGGAGAGAGAGAGAGGGAGACAGCGTGAGCAGGAAGGATCAGAGAGAGAGAGAGAGAGAGAGAGAGAGAGACAGCAGGGCTCGAACCCACGAACTGTGAGATCATGACCTGAGCTAAAGTGGGACGCCCAACCGACTGAGCCACCCAGGCGCCCCAAGAGTGTGCACTTCTGTGCCTTTTAATCTCCCAGCCTGTGATGCTTTGTTCAGGACGGCGGCCCTAGGTATCGAACACCTTTTTGGGGGAGGGAGGGATGGATCTATAAAAATGAAATGAAATCTCAGCTTTTAGGGGAAACGATTCAGCCCGAGCAGCTAGCCGCTGGGGCTGATAACTTTGACTCTCACATGTGGTTGGAAACGGTGATCACTGGGGGCTTCTGTTAACGATGACGCAACAGTCCCTGGGGAGGGAGGCGGAGATGCCATGCACACAGCCTCCAGCCCTTGGCGCTCTGGCTTCTCCAGGAGCCCTGATGACGGAAAACTGTGTGTGTGTGTGTGTGTGTGTGTGTGTGTGTGTGTGTTTCTTTCTGATCACGGCGACCCGGATCAGTCAGCGTTTCTTAGACGGCCTGTGAAGTGGATATAAACACGCTGCTCCCAAGCCCTTAGGAGTCCTGCCCGGAGCCTCGTGAGTCAGTCCAGGGTTTTTAAAGATGAATGGCTGTGAGCCGACTTCTCAGGAAGATTAGCCACGGGTCGTGGCTGTGCTTGCCAGGGCCGGCCGGTGCAGGGCCCGGTCACGTGGGCCCGGAAGCCGGCAGACAGCCTGACACGGCTCAGCTGGGAGGGCCACAGGCTGCCATCTTTCCGCGCGCTGGGGACGCTTCCCCATCTGGTCGTTTCTTTTTGTCGTTGAGTAAAGCGCACACCATGTCAACAGGGCCCTTTTATATTTAGGTATATATCACTGTGTATGCTCATCTCTGTCTTTCTCTATGTATGTACACACACACACACACACACACACACACACACACTATGTAGCTATGTGTATACTACAGATAAAGCATAATGAGTGGGGATAAATGGATGGTTTTCAGATTTTTAAAGCCGGAGAAACTTCTTTATTGTGAAATATCAGCATACCTAGAAGAATGTGCCAAGAGCCAAAAAAGCAGAGCTCCGCGGAACGTCACAAAGTAAGGTAAAGCCCCCGGGACCCTCCCCACAGCAGCTCCCGCGGGAATCCTTCTGGTGCCTTGAGAAAAAGAAACTCCTCCAATTTAGGGAGATGTTCCTAGGCGCTGATTAGGACCAGGAAGTCGTTAAGGCCACAGATGGGGGGTAGAAAGCAGGAAAGGGCCCCCGAAATTGCCCCGGGCCCCCCCAGGTCTCCCCATGGTGTTATGTGCAGCGCTCAGTGCCCCTGTTCACATAGTATTGCCCTGTGTGAATGCACCGCAAGCCGTCTGCTCCATGAATGTCCCTCTGGGTCATCTGAGGTTTGGCTCTGTTACAATTAGACGGCCGTGGACATTCTATCCCCGTCTTTCCTTGCCTTACTGGGGACCGTGTGAGGCCAATGCGTTTCTCCTTCACTCCCTTCCTCCTTCCCTCTCCCCGCCTCCTTTTATTTTTTTCTATCTCTCATCCTTTCTCACTCCCCTGTCCCTCCCCGCACTCCAGGCACCCAGGATGGCTGCACGGGCGAGGGTCTGTCTGCTGTGGGTAGTATTGTGAACGCCCTCGATGGTGCCCCTGCTCAGCGCCTTCTCTCCACCCCAGTGAGCGTGCACTTTATGCCCAATTTCCAGCCCTGCTCACCAGACCTTTTCCTCCCCAGAAGGCATACGCCTGGTGCAATTTGTAGCGATCAGACTATGATCTCAGGGTCCATAAAGGCCCAGTTTCTGCTTGGGCAGTTTCTTACCTGGATGGCCAACCCCAACTCCCCGCCCCCCCACCCTTTTTCTCCTCCAGACCCTGTGAATCCTGTTACCCTCCCATAACCCACCTCCTCCAGGAAGCCTTCCAGGGTTGCCCCAACCCTGCGGCTCCTCTCTCCTGAGCTCTCAGCGCCCTGAGATTCGTATCTCGACTCTCAGTCCCCACTCTGCATGCCGTAGAACGGGCATGCAAGTGCCTGGAGCTTTCTGGAAGGCATTTTGTTCTCTTTCTCTCAAAGAGAAAAATGCTCACACTCTCTGGCTGGGCAGTCCCCTTCCTGGAACCTGTCCTGCAGAAATGCTGCCCAGAGCGCTTCAACCTGGATGGACCAGAATGTCCGTCCCTGCTGACCGTAAGCACACAGCATCGGACGCCGTCTAAACGTCGTGGGCAAGAGAAGAATGCACATGCGTTCCATAGAATATTCCGCAGCCATTACAGATCTGAGGGAGACGCGCATCACACAGATCTGACCGGGAAAGGCAGCCGCGGGATGTGTTTCATGCCCACAACCTGGGAGGCGACACGTCGGCCGCGTTCACTTTACCTTCGGAAAGTAGGGTTGGCGGGTGGGGGACCCCCACTGCTTCCTCTGTGCGGCCTGTGTTGGTAACTTGCTGGTAAGCCTGCAGTTGCTTTTGTAATTAAAATAATAATAATAATATATTTTACATGCTTTTATTTATTTTTGAGAGAGTGTGAGCTGGGGAGGGGCGGAGAGAGACAGAGGATCCAACGCGGGCTCTGGGCTGACAGCACAGAGCCTGACACGGGGCTCAAAGGCTAAAACCGTGAGATCACGACCTGAGCCGAAGTCGGAGGCTCAACCGACCGAGCCCCCCAGGGGCCCCACCGCCAATCCATTTTTAAATGAAGGCATAAAACAATTTGTCAGAATTCGTAGACTGTACAACACTGAAAGTGAACCCTAACGTAAACTATGAGCTGTTAATAATAACGTATCAAAATGGATTTATCAGGGGCGCCTGGGTGGCTCAGTCGGTTAAGCGTCCGACTTCGGCTCAGGTCACGATCTCACAGTTCGTGGGTTCGAGCCCCGCGTCAGGCTCTGTGCTGACAGCTCGGAGCCTGGAGCCTGTTTCAGATTCTGTGTCTCCTTCTCTCTCTGCCCCTCCGCAGCTCGTGATCTGTCTCTCTCTGTCTCAAAAATAAATACATGTTAAAAAAAATTTTTTAAAATGGATATATCAGTTGCAACAAAGACACCACACTGATGAAGATGTTAGTAGTAGGGACGTGTGCCCCGGGGCAGAGGACCTCTGTGTACATGTGTGTGGTTTGTCTGTAAACCGAAAACTTCTAAAATATAGTTTCTTTTAGAAAGAGGAAGGAAGGAAGGAAGGAAGGAAGGAAGGAAGGAAGGAAGGAAGGAAGGAAGGAAGGAAGGAAGGAAGGAAGGAAGGAGACGACAGTGGATACTTGGAATAGAGCAGGGATTGATTGACACACTTTTTTTCCGTTTGGGGCCAGATAGTGAGTGATTTGGGCCCTGAAGCCCTGGCTACTCAGATTTGCTATTGCCATGCAAGAGTCGCCAAGGGCAATATGGGAGTGGGCTAGCAAGCCAGAGAGTGTGTCCCAATAAAACTTTATTTATAAAAGCAGGCAGTGGGGCCGTAGCCTGCGGCCCCCAGTGCAGAAGCAGGAAAGGACCCCCACACCAGATGGGGGAGGAGGAAGCTGAGAAGCTGCGCACTCACCCCGGATGGGCCGTCAAACCCAGAAAACAGTGCGGCCCTTCCCGTTGCACGCGGCTCCTTCCAGAATCAAAATGGGTTCTGAGGACTGGGTGAATGTAAGTTCGGTGTCACACGGTCCGGCCCCGCAGGCAGAGGGGCACCAGTAGCTGGAGACACGGGGAGGGCGAGGGCTGACCGTTGGGCCGGAGGAGTTTCTCCACGATGGTCTGCCTGCTTCCTTAGGCGGGAGCCGGTGGGCGCCGGGCCCCCCGCTTCTGCACACGGCCCCGTGGCCCCCACGCACCTCTGGCTCTGCACCTGCCGTCCTTCGCCGAGAACCTCGCCAGTGCGGTTGTAAAGTCACTAAACTCTCGCTCTCACTGCACACGGAAGATGAAAAAGGGAAACTGCACAAAAGGCTTTCCGCAAATAGTGAGGCTGCGGGGGGCAGAAAGGACAGTGGTGGGGGCTCCGCCCAGAGTGTGACGCCGAGCGGACAGACGTGGCCACGCATGGGCTTTGTCCCCTCTGGTCGGAAGGGCCTGATGCACTGGAGGTCCGGCCACTGACCTGTTTAGTCCCAGCAGCCCTGTGACTTAGGGTAATATTCCCATTTTGCAGATTGAGGAACAGGAAGCTTAGAGAAATCAAGTAACTTCTTTCAAGAAAGAAACGATAGCTTTAAAATTGCCAAAGGCTGAGGGCCGCCTGGGTGGCTCAGTCCGTTAAGCGTCCGGCTTCGGCTCAGGTCATGATCTCACAGTCTGTGGGTTCGAGCCCCACGTCGGGCTCTGTGCTGACAGGAGCCCGCTTGGGATTCTCTCTCCCTCTCTCTCCACCCCTCCCCTGTTCACTCTCTCTCTCTCCCTAAATAAATAAAATTTAAAATAAAATAAAACAATAAAACCGCTGAAGGCTGCAGCTGACCCAATCCACCGCCCATCCTGACCCCTACGATTCACCACCTTGAGCTCCAAGCCCTGCGAGACTGTGTGCAACACGTTACATCAGCCTCGGGAAGCTGTGTTTGCGGTTTTTGTCAGACGCAGGCAGTGACATCGGTCAGTGTCTCCGGGTTATATTCCGGGGCGGGGGCTTTGGCGAAGCTCCCAGGCGACGTGAGCAACATCTGCCCGTCCCGTCTCCTTCCTCTTCCTCTCCTGGTAGCTCTGCTCACGTCCACGTGCGTGTGACAGCGGCTGTGACTTACGATGTATGTGTGCGGGTCACCACTCCCCGGGTGGGCCTGACTCGGCGCCACCGAGAGGCAGTGCTAGTGCTGCCCGCGCCCGCTGAGCCACGAGGAAGACCAGAGATGGGCTTTCCCCAGCCCTGACTCAGACCCGACGCGCAAGGAAGGGCTGCTTGGGTGGGAGGGAGCCCCGACAGGGGGCTGAGGATGGAAGGCTCCCTGTCACCTGTGCTTCCTCCCCCCACCCCCCGCCTCTGCCATCTCTCGCACGGCCACCCGTGAGAGCGCTGGGCCCAGGGCCCAGGCAGAGTGGACGGCAGCCCCTGCGTGGAGCGGACCCTGCACGGGCGCTGGGCGCTCATCTGCGGCACGGAATGAATGTGTCCAGTGCCTGCGTCTCTCGTCTCCCCTCGGCCACGCGGGCTCTGTGTTGAATAGCATCCCCCCAGAACTCATGTCCGCCCGGAACCCAGGAATGTGAGCTTAACTGGAAATAGGGTGTTTGCAGAGGTTAGCAGTTAAATTAAAATGAGGTCATAGAACATCAAGGTTGGCCCTAAATCCACTATGACTTGTTTTTCTTATAAAAAGAGGAGAAGGGGGCACCTGGGTGGCTCAGTCGGATAAGCGTCCCACTTCGGCTCAGGGCATGATCTTGTAGTGAAGAGCCAAAAATTAAGGCCTCTGTTAAGAGCAACCTTGGGCCGCACGTAGCCCCAGTCCAGTCCCGGGAAAAGCCTCAGACTGTTCAAGGCTAAAGCCATCCTGGGACCACCCTCAGATCAGCTAATCAAACAACACTCCTATGGTCTGAGTCAAGGCTGGGAACTGCAGATACAAACTAGACAATTTCTCACCGCTTGCCTGAACCCCACGTGGGCCCTTTGAACTCACCTCATAAGTGGTCATTTTCAAAGGATTCTCAAAAGTCATGATTGGGTCCCACCAAAAGTAACGAACACCTCACAGACGCTGAATGGTCAAAGCTGTAATTGTAACTGGTGCTTATGTGATGATGCTACACGTACTGTAACACCCGCATCCCTTACTCCTTAAAAACCCTGTTCGCTATTCTTGGCTTCACCTTGCTGCCACGACACAGGTAGGCAGGTGGGCCCCTGCTCGAGCTTGTCATAAAGACCCTTTTGTACTTGCATCAGTGTCGGCTCCTTGGAGGTCTCTGGGGCTCGCGAATCGGGCACAACAGTAGTTCGTGGGTTCGAGCCCCGAGTCGGGCTCTGTGCTGACAGCCCAGAACCTGGAGCTGCTTCAGATTCTGTGTCTCCCTCTCTCTTTGCCCCTCCTTACTCGTGCTTTCTCTCTGTCTCAAAAAAAAAAAAAAAAAAATTAAAAAACCTCCT